TAGAATGCTACGCCGGCTGGCGGCGGAGACAGCGGGCGCGCAACCATTACAGGACGCGTGGGACGAGTGGCGACGGCGGTGACGATGCCAAGAGCGGGGAACCGACGACGTTTGCGGCGGCTAGCGCGTCGCTGGCTCTTTCGAAACGAAGGATCGAGGAGGCCTTTCGGAGCAGCGTCGACGTGCTCGGCGACGAATTCACATCTGGAGACGGTAAGATAATGGGGTTTTCTGCCGTTATATATATATATATATGTGTGTGTACTTGGGCTGATGCGAGATTGGTTTCCCCTCAACCCAGCGGCTTGTCGTGATGTTCTGATAGAGAATCTCGCGCGTCTGCGGGACTGCGTCGCGGCTCTGGAACGAGCCGTCGAGGCTGATGATTATCATCATCCCCTGCCGCTCTGGGAGGTCGCGCGCGTGTCGGAGGCGGTGCGCGGGTCCAGCCTGGCGGCCCTGCAAAAGCAGTACCAACGCGTTGTCGTCGGCCGTTTGGCGCCTCGGAGATTGTCGCCGCCGAAACTTTCGATGAGGACGGGTGATGACGAACGCCATGTAGAAGGAGTCAGCAGTCGTGAGGAGGCCGGGGTTGATGCAGCGGCGCAGACACGAGCAGCGGAACGCCATCGAAAGAGCCTGGCGAAACTTTGCCGTAACAACAACAACGATAGTAATAGTAATAGCAGTAATTACGAGCCGCCGTCTCCCCCTCCGACGCCGACTCGGGTCTCGAAGGATACGCCTCCCGATCACGATTCCGAGTCCACCTATTCCTGGTCTACGGCGGGCTTGGATGCTCGGCCGAAGAATAGCGTTTTCAGCGTCTTCTGCCCGGAGGCGATGAAGTATCAGGTCGATCTACAAAAGGCATTGCCGATCGAAGGGGCGAGGTGTCGATGTGGCTATGTCTGGAATGCCAGCTGTTGCGCAGAAGACAGGACGGCCATGGTAATCAAAGATGGATTCCAGATCACGCCGAGGTTTCTGGGTAAATCACATTGCGACAAAGGGTTGGGATGTGTTCTGTGTACGGTAAGTTCGTTCGTTCATTCTAAGGAGCTCGTGATGGGTAGGAAATAATGAGTTTGGTCGCGGTCGTGAATATCACGGTTCATACGCTGCTTGGAGGCGAGGACTGTTGTTGTTGAGTATCACGGGCTAACTGATTGACCAGTCTAGTGGGAAGACGGAGACTTTTGGGAGCGTGGAGGGCTTGAAAACACATATCAACTCGTCTCATACGAAATGGCAGTTGTTGCATGATCGGGACTTGGCTGGTCGTTGAAGGACCGATAATTAAACTGAGATAATTATGCTGCTTTCCATACTTTGGTAGTTGCTATGCAAGGGGATAATCCAAGAGTCAACTCATACGATTTCTTTTTTTTTTTCATCGTCTTGGAGCTGCCAGTACTTTTGATTGCACGAGATATTATGGGTAGCTTGAATCCACCGTGTCCCGGTCCTCGTCACACCACAACACACGGCTGTGCCGCGTCAGTTCGGACGTAAACCTTGCTAAGCGAGGAGGTTCGCTTGGAGCACCGAGCCCAATTAAGATCCCGGCCCTTTTTAGTACCAAATTGACGGTACAGCACTTGTACAAAAGGGTAGCCCATCACCGAAGGGTTCGCGAGTATTGCGTCTCCGCTCTTCGGTGGGTATAATCAATGTCGACGGCCCACTGCGACATTGAGGATTAGATAACTGCCTGCCAAGGAAAAGATCACCGCAATTAAGGGGAGCCGGCCGGAATTGGTCGATTACACCATCTGGGCCGCGTATCGCCAAATTTGCAAAGGAATGCATATGAGTGGCAGCTGTGGGAAATCATGACGTACCTTTATCTTGTGCTCCTCTAGGTCAGGAAAGGCTTCCCGAAGTAGTTGTGTCACATACACAAAGCGACGTTCTATCAGTTTCATATTTTGCGTCCACTCCCAGCTGCCCTCCTGCTGGCCCTGCATGACCGAGTCATACGGGACAAACCCGAACCCATCACGCTCTACCATAGCGTGAGCCGAGGGGTCGAGGTCGCTCGGGCGGACAACGAGGACGACCTCGGCGAGGTTCGCAGACGGTTTGGGGAAGTCGACACTCGGTCCATAGAAGTGACGCCACCCTTCATATCTGCAGCTGTCATGGATAAGGATGGCCACTCGTCGAAGCTTGCTCGCGATTGGCCCATTACACACCCTCCTCAGCGTCTCACAGTTCACATCTGCGCCGTCGGTGAGGTAGAGCAAGTCATTTTCCCAATTGATATGAACGCCAGGCATGACCATGTCGCGTCGTTTCCCACCCGGGTTTCTGACAAATTCGGCGAGGCCGGGTGTTGATTGCAGGATATTTTTCGGCAGGCTACGAGGTTGATCAGGATTCTCAGGGTCGACGAGGCCTCGAAGCTTGTCGTTGAATAAGTCTTTCACGTGCTTGCTCGGTAGTGCCATGAAATTCATGTGAACGAGATCGAATTTGTCGCGAAACACTTCGAGTGCCTCGCGGTTCATCGCGGCGGCAGCAAACCGAAGACTAGCAGGGACATTGCGATTCGTCCGTGCGGTGAGGTCCGCGTAGGCTACAGAAGTGCCATTGGAAGCTTGTTGGGATTTCGATGCCCCTGGATAGAGCACATGAATCCGTGGGACGTCAAAGTAGTATTCCCAGATCTGTAGGCGGAGCTCCGTGGGCAGGTCTGGGAAACGGTGGAAGGTCCTGACATCCTGCTCGGGCCCTGCGACTGGTGTATCCTCGGAAACGAGGAAGAAACGGCCTGTAAACCACCGCATAGTCATTACGTAGTGAGATGGGCGCTTGTATCTTTTGAGTTGATGCGAAATCAGGTTGGGTGCCTGTCTAGATCTGCCATTAGCTCTTGCAACAGAACGAAAGCTTATCTCGAATAGCAATTCGAGCTGCCCTGTGAACCCTCACTTACTGTTATCAAGTGCACTAGTGGACTATGCAGGCTTGGGAAATATGGTCACGACAGATTGCGCAACGTCGCAGCCAGATGATGACATTACACAACATGGAGAGGGTGCATGGTGGATGTATATATATCAGCTTAGACATTTGTCAAATAGTTGACCGATAGGAGGCCAAATTAAGCTAAAACGAGATACAAGCCCTCCACGGTGCCTATACCAGAATAGAACCATCCTATACGTATGGGTGGTCCTCCAGATTCTGCTCTAGACATGGTCGAGCCGTTGCCGAATATCCATTTGTTTGGCTGACACAGGCAACGAGACCAGCTGACAAGCAGTGGCACTAACTGGTATCGATTGTTGCGAGAATGCAGCCTCATATTCTCGTATACTCCTCACTAAACTACACGCTGTAGTGTACATGTACAGTTGCCTTACATAGTGGAAGGAATGTGTACACCTTACCCTGAGGTAATTATACTGTGGTCAACAACAGAGCCAAGCCAGATACTATGTTTTAGCTTAACGCAGATAAGAGGCGTGGGCAACTTACAAGTTCCAGACTCAAGCCACTCGCTCTGCTAAATGTACTAATTGTAAATCACGTCATTCGCTATCGAAATGATGAGACCTCAGAATTCAGGACATGACCAACACTTGAGCGTTAAAAAGCAGTAAACGTCATGCAACCGGAATCCCGTCTCTGAACCATGATTCTCAGCATGAACGCCGTGCACCAAATATATTTACATATGCCTGGGTGCATCAGGTAAGTATTACGTTAGTCAACCCTAGAAACATTCGTCGAGTTTGTGTACTGTATAACATGTTTCTCGGGACCAAACTAGACCTTACGGAGTTTACCGTCATTTCAGCCTCCCCACAAAGGCAGGCGATTTCGGGTCGTCGCTATCCCCTTTATGGTATGCCATTCACGATCCCCCCCCCCCCCCCCCCCCCGGCAGGCATCAGCAGATCATCAAGACCTTACCTAGGAGACCACTTTTGGAACTACAAATATCTATTTATAATTTAGAAAGGCTTTCGAAGCGATAACTAAGCGATCTGTCTTGAAAGTCCTGTAATTTCGCTGGCACTTTTATTTGTTTTGCCCAAATCCTAAGATAGATGCAACGTTCAATGCTGGGCCTTGAGCCTCCTTTGCCTAGGTACACTACATGTAAAGAAGAAAGCATGATACCATTGGTCACAATCTGCCCCATGCTCGATACCCCAAACATTGAACTGCTGGAGTAGGTAGCATTCATTGGATACCAACTTAAATACAGTAAAAGCTTTCTAGTCTGGGTGGGTAGCGCCAATTCTTCATTCATTTTCTGTATCGGCTTTGCCGACTCATTTACGATGGTAGGTCGTGTACTTTCGATTTTATCCTCAGCTATCAGAGTCAGTCCTCCCCCAGTCAAAGAGTCCAGAGCTGCTTAGTTTTTGAACACAAATATTAGATAGAATGTCTACACCGCCATCCCGTTTTGCTTTCCGCTTTCCTACTTAGGTCTCTCTTCCAATTGAAGCTCTCACATAGCGACCTGCTATAGATCACTGGCTAACTAGAGGTCGAGGGCTAACATAGATAGCACTTGGCTGCCCAGTGGTTCTCATAATTGGAAGAATACATGACTTAAGAAATGGAGGGAGACCTAAACAGCCTCTAGTGTAGTGAGTTGGGTTCGGTGCCGAACAGCGCTATCGGTTTTTGCTAGTGTAGGTAGGGTAGTTAGCTTCATCTAGGAGAAGTTTCCGGTAATATAATGTTAGCGCTAAGATCTTTGATGTTGTGCAAGCTCGTGCTAATTAGTCCTGACTCCTTAGCATCATGGTTGTTCTTACTTCTTAAAACTTCACCTATTGTGACAGGAAAAATGATGCTGTTAGGTATACCCTAACAGGATTAATAATATGTAGTAGCACTCTATAACAAGCAGGTATCTAAACTACCTAGAATAGTAATAGTTGAGTTAAATTTAAATATGTTAAAATGAAAAAAAAAATGTGATTTAAAATAAGTAAGGAGCTATACAGGAGCTTACTGCGGAGAAAAAGATTGGGCTCAACCGGGATTCGAACCCGGGGCCTCTCGCATTTCAGAATAGACCCAAAGCGAGAATCATACCACTAGACCATTGAGCCAGAGAACCACTCCTGAACCGAATACCGGATCTGGGATGGCAATTTTCTGCTTAGAAAGCACTATGAATTACAGCTAAGACCCGATATTTGTGTCGCACTTGACTAGTAGCTGCATGTCAATTATCTTCATCTCTTCTACGCCATCAATATACACACCCACCTACTTGACACTCCCCAAAGTAGGAATCATGCCACTTAGACTACTGGGCCAATTATTGGATACTGGGATGGATTCGCATCCCAAGTCCACTCGAGTGCTCCCTCATAGCCATGTTTCTTGTCAGATCTGGAGTTGAAGCCCCAACATCCCCACCCATTAAGGGCTATCTCAAACCCTTCTAGTGAAGAAGCACTTACATAAACAGCCTTGACTGCCAATTGTCATATTGAGCCGCTACCCCCAGTGCCGTTGTGGATATCGACAACCTACATGTACCGGCTGTGAAGTGGGAGTGCCACCATTTCTCTCGAATAAGCGTGACAAGATAGCCATATAATGGAAAAGAGCAAGTAATTCAGATGTGTTGAGGAGACTCACAGTTGATCCTTACAGCCATTTAACGTAGAATAATCGACGTAAAAGCAACCCAGGCAATTCCGAGTCTCTACCTTCCGCCGTCTTTCACCCCATTCTCACTTCTTCTCTCTGTCTCCTCATCCCACTGATCTCACTACGTATATTTCTATTTCTAGCCGTAACTCCTACAAGGTCCTAGTCTTATTTACATCTGTGCGATGTACTTCATTATATACGCAAATATTTGACAAGATGGGACCACCGGGCGTTTAAACCTACCCGATTGCTTCCATAAATATATAATTAGCACCATTCATTACCTAGGCATCATTGTTGTTGTTTCTCCCAGATCCATTCTCCGAAGAACCACCGGCCCCCGCGCTCTACCACACACACACACACACACACACACTCTCTCTCTCTCTCTCTCTTGCCACAAACTGACATTAACAGTCATGAAACCCACACTTGCTCATTCTGAAGGAAATTAACCGGTCCATGGACAAATTTTCTACACCCTGGGATTCTGTTCGAGCAGGTATTAACATCTTCGGGGCAAGCAAGAGTGAGCGGCCATTGAGATTCCGGTGATTCTTCTACATGGATGAGATGCCAATACTAGCGGGCACTCCTCCATCACTGTTACTATTACTACCAATCTCATCCCTATTATATAATTACATCTATCGAGTTCTTATTCAAGACTACAGAAATGTTTTATTCTGCACTTATTAAAGCCATAAGTATATATTTCTAACATTTTTACTTAGGTTACTATATCTTAACCAAGGCCCTACTAGCCCTACGTTATCTCTTTCTATAGGTGCAATTACAACGCTACACCTCCTCCTCCTCCTCCTCCTCCTCCTCCTGTTGCTGCTGAGAACAACAAGAACAATATACCCCTGGTACTGGCACCATCAACTCCCTCACCAGCATCCTACAGACGTGGAACACGGAGATAGCGAAGAGGGGGATACTCGCGACAATAGGGCACTCTGAGGCCCCGGCGACGTTCGGGTAGAGGCTCTGTGAAATTGTTCGTCTTCGGAAAGAACTGGTAAAGCAAGTACCGAACTTCGCCTTCATAGATGTCCATATCCCAGTCTCGCAAGTCAAAAGGAAGTAGAACCTGTTGTTCGTACCAAGTAACTTTCACATTTCCCTGTTCCTGCAGTGGGCGGCTGTGAAACTAGTCATGCACGACGTTTGCGTCAACAAAGAGTCGCTGGGGGCACAGAATAGCTCCAGACGGATTTCTCCCTGGGTTATTATAGGTCTCCTACTGTGTTAGTAAGCACCAGGGAACGTTTGGAAAACGATTGTTCAGCGGAAGGGTGACTCTGCGCTTATTCGGTGGCATTAAGGGCGAAGATCCCCGTGGAGGCACCGCTAACATGACGATGGCAGGGCCCCGCATCATGGACGCTTGCATTAACTGGAGGTTGAAGCTGAATTTTTTTTCAATTACGGATGCTGAGCTTCGTGCGCCGAAATTTGTCCCCGACACCTCTTCGTGCAAGATAAACTTTTACTACTCTTGCTTTTATAGAGATAATTGAAATACATCTACCGTGAAGGTAATAAATAAGGTTTCTTCCCCGATCTTCAATGAGTAGTCTTGTTCCAGCATTGGGCGGTCTAGCAAAGTTGTAGAAGAGATGGGAGTAACTGACATGGAAACCACCTGTGAGGCGAAGAAATAGGCACCGTCCTCCGAAAGGACACACAGATTGAGTTTTCTATCCATAATAGCGTCTGCAACTTGTGTCTTGGGGCTTGATTCGCCAGGCGCACTGCCTCTCTCGGGCATCAGCAGCAGTGTTATAGGTGGAGTTGACGTAGCGAGATGCTCTTCTCAATCTCAAAGTCATATGTCTTGTTATTGAGACACGCCATATCGATTCTTTTTACATCGAGAGATAGTCCTGCACCGCCCAGAAGACCATCTCAGCTACTGTCCGAGTGCTCGCCGGCTACCGGGCTTATATAATCCGTTTTGTTACGGGAGATCTCTTCTTTCATAAATTGCCAGCTACAAACGACATCGACGCACACACTTTATTACCTAACTCCTTACTGTTATTGGAATCAACACCCAAAACAACCAAGGCAATACGAAATACCAGTGTATTAACACAACCTCAGGTTCTTAACACTCTAAATAGGTTACCCCATGTAGTCTGGATCTTGAGCAAATCTTAGAAATCAATCTTAATCGAGCATCAGACGAAACCTGGTAACAGCGCTACTGGTTATAACGCCGAATATGACCTCACATGAGAAGGAAAGAAGCTACTACGTCCTGTTGACATTATCGGCAAAAAGGTTGACCTACCTGCGAACGCGTACTTGGAAAACTCGGAGAAGCCGCTTTACACGCCGCCCGAACAGCAATACCCAAGACAAACCGACTAATGCCCGGTTAATTTTTCCGGTACCAGTCACTCTCAGAAGATTGTCTTCCACGACAGGAGGCCGAATCATTCGACTGCACTAAAGTGAGAGATAGCAGTTCGGTTTCACTAGCCGAGATTACCGATTATCGAGGCAACCCACGGAAGCCTATTTCCGATGGAGCTATGCAATGTTTCTAAGTTTCAAATTCACCCATACCCGCCGTTACTCGTCTGACTGAACGCGAGGAGGATATACCCGAAAGGGCTCCAACATCTACCAATGACCTCTACCTGATCGTATTCAGCATTAAGGCCCCAGGCAACGTGCAAGCAGCCAATGCGTGGCTGCTATATAATCCCCATATCCCCGAGTGCCTGAACCCCTTTGATCATTCCACGCGGCCGCCGGAGCTAGCAAACGGCCTCGAGTAATAGTTAAGAAGATTTGGGATTCCGAGCCCGTTCAAGGGATCATGATCTAAGTCGCCGACAAGTGGCCTTGCAATGTCAACTCGCTGGCTGGGTCTTCCAAGGGGATCGAGTGTAATGAGTTTCATAGGGACATAGACCAAACGGCCTGCTTTCTTTTCGCCATTTCACTCTTTTCCTTTCTCGCGCTCTTCCCCTCACATTGATGCTAGTAATCTTCACGATGTCGCTCATCTTTGTTTTCTGTTTGAGTTCATTCCTACTGCCCATCGCGTTTTGGCATGTCGCGTATTAAACACATACTTGAACCTCAATAGGTGCTTTATTTTTTTTGTCTGCCATCTTAACTGTAATACTGGATCACATTATTATCTATCATATTTCAATAAAAGGCGAAAAGGCCCTTATATAGCTTGTCTTATTCAAGCTTTAAGATAAGTATTGCCGGATAACACACAACATGCAAGTTGAAGGGAAGCGACACTCGTCAAGCGGAATTGTTTATGGGATCGAACCACTTTATATAGTCCTTGGTTGCTGGTTCCCAATTGTTGATGATGTTGTCGACCTTTTTATTTGGAATGTTGAATCTCGAGACTCACTACCCCTAACTATTTGTGCAGGTGAAGACGATAATGATGGTCTTTGGACAATGTGAGAGCAGTGGGACGGAATATCAAGCTCATTATGATATAATAGTCTAATCACTCACATTTGGTGATGTTGCGATACACTATCTCTATGTTGATTTAACCATCTGTTGCGCGGTCGCAAAGCCAGCTTAATGCCCCTCCCATGTGCAATCCGCAGGAATGTTCTCATCATATATTCTCGCTGCACACTAGTCAATCCCGCGACGCAACTCGCCACATGTAGTCCTCGCAAAAGGAAATAAGACCCTAGTGCCTTACCATCTTTTCCCACCGTTGGCAAGCCTAACTGATCCACATCGGCCATCATGTACGGGACACAGGCACAGATCTCGTCAACTGCGTCGCTGAGCCGCTTCCCGAGATCCCAATTTGAAAGCTGGCCCCAGTTGAAGGTTTGCTGTAATACTGGAAGGGAAGAAGCATAGACGAGGGTTTGTAACGCATATATAACTGTGCACCAAAAGCTGATCCAGATTGCCCCATGGTGTATGTTCCGGAATAAATGATACTTCTCCGGTACAATCCCTGGTTGGGAATCGTGGCCATCTTGGGTGGGAGTCTTGCAGGATTGGTATGACCAGCTAGAGAATGAAGCAGCCCCCCAATCAAGTAGATGTAGATAGGCTGAAAAGATATTATCGAGGGATCTGATAATCTTACTCTTGAAGATATCCTTACCCGGAACTAAAACCATCGCCTGGGCCTGGGTACAGCATCGCGACGTTTCGCGAATAAGTCGCCAGAGCTCAGCTTGATGCGCAGGAAAGTCTACTGCTTCAGTGTCATAGCCAACGTCGATTGGGGAAGGAGAGAGCCCTCCAACTGAGTTTAAATGCGCTCTGCTGTGGATAATTCGGAGCACGGCGTTGCCGTTACCAGTGCCGAGTCGAGCATTCCCGCGTAGCCGTAATAGCTCTATGAGGCCTTTTTCGTGAGGGTCACATGATATGCTTGTGATGCCAATGATTGCCTGCGAACAACAATTATAGAGAGAATTTTTAA